AGGTCAGTTTAGCTAAGCAAGTTTAATGACCCAGCCAGTGGCACGGCTGGCCAGCAGGTGGAATCTCAGAGCTGGCTCTCGGGACTGCAGTCAGGAATAAAATAGTAAATTTGTGGAGGTGATAGTGAACACTGTGGAAGTGGAGGGGGCTGCTCAGGGAGAGAAGCCAAAGACAAAAGGGGTCAGGAGGGAGGGGGCCCAGGTCCAGGGGCCCAGGAAGGGGACTTTCAGAAGGCTGTGGCCAACACATCCAAGGCTGCAAAGATGAGCAGGAAGAAGGGACTGAGAGGTGGCTTAGGCAATTCCATAGTCACCTTGGATCTCCTGGTCCAGGTGGGGGGCTTGTGACACCAGCCCACCCAGCCAACCAGCCAATGAGACTGGCCCACAGAAAATATTCAACGCCACAAAGAGGGACAAATTGACAGATGGGAGTGAATGCTCGGTTTCCCCTTCTGCAAGTGGGACTCCTGCATTCTAACAAGGCTCGAGCTGCAGTTACTTACTGAGGAGGCATCCAACAGATGCAGGAGGGAAAAAGCTGTTTCTCCCACTGTCTGCTAAGTTCCCAGCAGAGGCCTGAACAGGTTGGGTGGTAGGAAATGCTCCCAGGAGGGAGTCCTAAAGCCAGCAATCACCCAGAAAGACTGACTTCAAACCCAACCCATGCAGCTCCACAGAGGAGAGCTCTGAGACAGGAAGGAGTGAGCCAATAGACCCCCAGGGGTGGGGAGCCCCACAAACCCAGTTCATTCAGAGACCACAGCCTGGGCCTTTTATTCCATCCCTGCGCAGCCAAGAAGCCCTGGCAACAGGAGCTCTTGGCGGGGAGCCACTTCCAGACTAATATCTCTGATGAACTTCCAACAAAGCCACACCCTCCCTTTGGCAGCCACATGGCCAGATCTGCTGCCTAGAGGTGCCTTATGTGTACAAAGGCATGGCTCCCAAAGTCTGTTCTGGAAAATCCATCTTGTGTCCCAAGGTGCTGAATACTAGGGTGATTTCATATACCCTTTCCCAGCTAGTCAGTCCCTCTTTTATCTGCAAGCCCCACTTCCAGATCACTGGCCTGCACTGCCTCCCACTGGCCACCTCCTGATGGCCCCTGCATGGTGTGAGGGGGTGGGGGGAGAGGGGTACCCCTGGAGCTCTCCTCCCAGACCTGGAGTGGAGTTGCCAGTGGCCTCTCAGGAACCAGTGTGCTGGGCCAGGAACGCCCCACTCACTTGGCAGAGCCCTGGCCCCTCCCATCCCACACTGTACCGCATCCTGGGGCTCCTGCAGCTCTGAAAGCAGCCCAGGTTCTAATAGTTTCTCCAGCCCACCGCCCCAGTTGCAGAGAAAATGGCAATTGCCGCAGGGGAAAACCAGCAGCCTCTGCCTGTCTTCCTGGCGTGGGAAGGGAGCAATGGCATTTGTGAAGACAGCCTCTGCGCAGGCCCCGCCCCGGGCACTCACCTGGCAGCAGCGCCGGCCCTGGGGCTGCATGGGCCTGGAGGAGAACTGAGGGGAAGAGCCCTGGCCCTGCAGTGGGAGCCCCCAGCAGTCTCCTCCCTCTCTATAGTCGGGCAGGTGACACAAGAAAGCTGGGACTCGGGGAGGACTCAGGGTGGGGACACCAGCCCAAGTCAAAGCCCATTTTGACGGAGCAACGACGAACCACAGCGAGAGTTCAGGGGGTGATATAAATATATTTTGGAAGCTGCCCGTGTACTCGGGGGTGAAGAACCAGCACAGAGGGCCGCCCAGGCCCAGCCACCTCCTCCCCCACCTCTCCACAGACCCACCCCACCCACTTCTGTCTCTCTCTAGGCTTCAGGAGGAGGGTCAAGAGGGGTCTCCAGGGAGATGAGGGGGAAGTGTCGGGGGGCTAGGTGGAAGCAGCAGAGTGGCAGCATCATGCCCCAGGGCTGAGGGGCAGGAGACCAGCACTCTCTAGCTTGGGGCCTCAGGGCCTATTCCTCCAGGGCCTTGGGAACGGGGGGTGTGGGAGAGGCGCTACGGAGGATCCACGCGCCCTACTTCGCCCTTCCCTGTCCATCCCAGACCTACTCAACTCCCACCGTGCCTAAGAAAATGGGATGGCATGAGGGGTAGGCACCATGGGCACGTGGGAGGGGGAGGGAGGGAGGGAGGGAGAGACGACTGAAACCCCCGCCCCCAGGTCAGCAACAATCAGGAGGACGGGTGGAAAAGGCAGCAGGTCCCCAGAAGGCCAGGAGAACCAGGAAAGGGCCAGGTGCCCCCGCGGCCCTTGTGGTCACTGCAGCCGGGCCTACCACTAACAGCCCAGCAGCTCCACGCGAAGGGTGATGCGGTTGTGCCAGGCCACAGGCAGGATGCGCACAAAGCGAGCCAGGAAAGGTGCCTCAAACATGTTCTTCTTGTGTGAATTATTGTCCATGTTGCCAGGGAAGACCTAGAGACAGAGAGGGGGTCAGGAGGGCCCCAGAGCCAGCCTTCCTCCCCTCAGGGCCCCGGATCCCACTCGCAGGGCACCCCTGGAGTGGGGAGGGAAGGACAGCTGGACACACACTCACCTTGCTTTCCACGGCCCCCTGGTCCCTGTACTCAGTCCAGTTCACACCATCGTCACCATAGGCCACCTTGTAGGCTGCCACATATTGGATGTGGCCAAAGTCTCGGGCCCCCTGGGTGATGATGCCAGTTACTCGCTTCTGAGAGCCCAGGTCAATCTACAGGAAAAAAAAAAATCCACCCCATCTTCTTTGCTTGGACCATCTCCAGTAAGGTGGGAAAAGGCAGGCACACTGGGGCATACAATCTAGTTTTGGAAAAACTACTTCACTTGGCAGAGCCTCAGTTTTCCATCTATAAAATGGGCATAAATAATACCACTTACTTTGTCAGACACTTTTAAGCACTTTGATGCAATGAAGCTCAGATTTCAGAGCCTGGGCTCCAGCCAACTCACTGCCAACCCCTCATAGGATAGGAACAGGGACAGGGGAGGCCATAGCCTACAGGGACATGAACTGCTCCTGAGGCCCCTGCAGGGCTGTCCATAGCCTGACATCGGTCCTGAGGGACTCCAAAGGCAGGCAGCTCCTCACGGAACCCAGCCCCACAGGCTAATGTGCTTGTTGGGGCCTAGAGATGCCCCTCCTGCCCCCCAGTTCCCTGCCCATCCCAGGGAGCCTGCCGGCTGCCCCTGGGAAGGCAGTGCGAAGATCCAGGCTGCAAACCCAGCTCACTGCCAACAAGCGGGTGAGCCCCAGGCAAATCCTCACCCTGCCGGGACCCAGTTTCCTCATCTATAAAATGAGTGGATGCTCTGGTTTTCCATGACTCTCCTGTGCTTCCCAATTTCCACGAAATCCAAGGGCTGTCACACGGTGTGTTCTCAGACAGCAAGTTAGAGAGCATCCTCTGAGCGCAGGCAGAGAAATCCTGAGGTGTCCCTCCTCCATCCTGCCCTGCTGTACGTGGGCTCAGCCTTATCACCCTGTGGCAGCCAATGGAGGTGGCCCTACCCCTACACACACACACTCACCACCTGGGGCTGGGGGCCTTGGTGGAAGCAGCACTGAGCTCCCCCACCATCCCCCCCTCTGGAGTTACAGAATCAGGAGAAAGGTGGGGATATGAGAGGAAGAAGGAGCAAAGCCGAACACAAACAAGGCCGTGCAGAAACTCCCTCTTGGGGAGCAGAAGCCTGGGTTGGGCCAGGGTCATAGATCCAACAGCCCCACCCAAACCCACCCAACGCCAGCCTACCCCAGCCCTGCTCCCCAGCGGGAGCCTGACCCACCTGAAGCCACTCAGAGGCACTGTTGGTCTGGGCGGTCCAGGCGTTGAACTTGCCCTGATTATCCAGTCGCGCATAGGAGGGATACCAGCTAAAGGCACTGAGGCCCCAGGTTTTGTAGAAGCTGGAGGCTGTGATCTGCTTGCTGGGGATGGTGTTGTCCTTCAGGCCTAGGGGTTCGGCGCATCCTGCCAACAAGGGGGGTGCTGTCACCCAGACCTGGGGTCCACAGCCTCCCAGGGGTGTGAGCGTAAGGTGGTAAAGGGGAAAGAACTCTGTGGCTCCTGACCAACCTCTGGCATCCTCTTAGACAACAGACGGAAGATCCTTCCACCTTTTAGGACCAACCGTTCTATTTGCTTACTGACAGCCCCACCCAATCCTCAGCTCAGCTCCCACCCAGCGCCCCTCACTTGCTCTGCACAGATCACCCACCGCTCTTGT